CGTGTTGACGAGGACACCCACACCGCCAACGCCTCTGCTGTCGCATGTTCCAAGGAACAGTTCTTCTCCAGTATCGAAAAAACGGCGTGTAGCGGTGCCTTCTCGTCTCGGTCAGTCCGATGACGTCGTACTTGATCTTCCTGGCCTGCATCATCAGATCTTCGATGTGAGCTTCGGATGCAAGCGTTCGTGCGTTGAAAGTACAGATCGCCATCTTAGTCCTTCTTCGTTTAGGCAGCCTATCCGGGCCCTGAGATTCTAGCAGCCTCTCCCGAGCGGTCCTACCCAACGCTGCCGTATTGGGGGCTCCCTCAGGTTCAGGGGAATGAGGCCCATCCATATTGCTGTTTTCGGCATATTGAAGGCACACGAGTAGCTTGCCAGGCTCTGTCGTGCGGGCTAGGATAGACCTCCAGGTAGTTAGCCACGCTATCCTGGAGCGGAACAAGGGGCTTATTTTTGGAGGCGGCCCCGAAATCGCCTCCCATGTACTTCCCAGTCACTTGAATGCAAGCTTTTGGCTGTGCCGACATGCAGGATACCAACCGCACACACACAGAGCGCACCACACACGCAAGCATGCATGGATGCGCCTGAGTGGAGACAGCTGGTATGAATCAACACAGCACTACAGAAACAGGGAGTCCATCCCCTGAATCCACCTGCGTCTCAGGGCAAGTACATGTGGCGCGCCGTAGCCTCGCCACCAACCGGCTCGAGATCTTTCAGCGAGAGAGGACCTTCATGAAAGAGACCCGTGGAAAAATTTTCGAACCAAATCGCTACATATTCTGGTTTTCTACAAATCCAAGTGCTAAACTCCACGAAAGCCACGGTTCTCATCTTCGAATAGGGAATAAATAGTTCCATTCCTCATCTCTCTTTATGCTCCACTCACTGAAGCAAACGATGACAGAAGAAGGAACCTGCCATTGGATTTGACCTGTTATCGATATCCAATACTCAGGCACCATTCGCTTCCTTGATTTATTTATTTTACTTATTATTATGCGTACAATGACGCGCCAGCTACAAAAGGCGAAGCGAGATTGACTGCATACCCAGAAAGAACAGAATAAAATTATAACATCAACTGATAATTGAATGGACAGCTATTAAAATAGTTGTAAGTAAAAAAAACTATGAAAAAGAAGGAAGATGATATTAAACAGTAAAGAAGGACCCATTGAGTGAACAGAAGAAGTGAAGAAGAAGTCTTCAAGCAAGCCTTTCCTCGAGCGAAAGGAACAAAGAATGAGCCTTCACTTTAAATGTATTCTCACCAGCAACATTAAAGTCACGCGACAACCCTAAGTTCCTGATCTAACACCTAGAACCAAAATAAAGGAAACATGAAGAAAGACGCAAAAACAGATAAAATATATACTCGTCAAACTGACTAAGAACTTCTGATGAATTGAGCTTCGTTAGCTACTCTGAACTGAAAGGAGTTTTGACACGAGGGAGTAGGGATGGAGGTAGACGCTGCAGCCACCGAGTAGTGCGTAAATCAAGCTTTTGGCTGCACTGCTTATGGGAAGTCTCAGGACGCCCCGCATTGGAAGACCGAAAAGACCGAAAGTTTTGATGGACGATTCGTCTCCTGCCTCTGATTATTTCAGCGGTGTCCACTCCGGGTCAAATTAAGTAACCGCTTTAGTGGAAAGATTCCCAACAGCTCCAAAAGCCAAACGAACATTCTTAACATAATTGTTACAGCACTTCCCTGGCGCGTTCATGTGCTCATCTTGCATATAAGTCACTGCCAACTTTTATGTCACCCCACGAATTGCAACGAACTCCTCTGTCTATTCTGAGAATAACTAAGTAAAGTCGAGGTAATCGAGAAACACAAAGAAAAGCTACAAACCCCACCACAGACTTCAGAAAGACATTCTCTTGTAGTCGAAATACAGTTTCCAACTCGAACGTTAAGTTTCCGCCCTTGCAGGTAAGATCTAAACAAGTTCAAGGTAGCACCCCTGACTCCAATACTTTCCAGCTTAGCAAGCAATTTAGAGTGGCATACTTTGTCAAAGGCTTTGCTCAAATCGAAGTAAACAACGTAAACATTCTTGCCGCTGTTTATGGCTTCTATCCAAGCGTGTGTCCAACTAAGTAACATGTATTTAGATGCCCCTTACAGAAAGTCATGAGATGGGATGAGATGGAGCCTAGAAATCCATTCCAGTAAAATTTCATTTCTCACTATTTTCTCAAAGAAGTTCAATGGGGTGGACAGAAGGCTTATTATAAGATCGCAGTTGGCCTTTTTAGGATGGAGTACTAAAAAATTCTTCCAACCGCTTGGGAGAGCTGCGCTTTGAACTTGGCAGCATGTTATAAATGTGGTCAAAGAACGCACAAATACTCGAATATCTTTGAAGAAAAGTTGGGGGTCTGATGTGAGAGACGTTGATGGTTTGAGCGTTCTCAGATACTTCAAAACAGTGCTGGGGAGATACTTGATAACACCAAACACTCTGTGGAAACCGAAGGTGGGCTTATGTTGCCATCATGAGGCTTCCCGTATACACTAGCGAAATAATCAGCAATTGCTACAGCTTTCGTATAATTGGTTGAATACGTATTCCCTTCGGAATCTTCCAAGATATGGTGCATATTGTAAGTTGTGTTGACCTTTCTGATGTATCCATATAGCATTTTCAAACTATCATCCTTAGCCAGTTTTCGCATTCTAAAAGCTAGGTAACGCTTCACATGGAAATCCAGCTTGTTGGAAATATAATATTACGGAAGAGGACATTTTGAAGATAATGGATGCGCGTGAGATATCTACTAGCTGAATGCTTTACTGTCGGAGGGGTACGTAACGATTAATGATGTCGAGTAAAGCGGCAGTAAATCTGCCATAAATTTCGTCAATGTCCAAATAGCTATCAGTTTGTCGCATCCAGTCCAAACTAGAAAGTATTTGTTCAATTTTTTCCTTATTCGCACACTTGAAATCTCTATAAGAAACCAGCTCAGTATCAAACCGAAAGGTGGATATTCTAAAAGAGACGATATTGTGACCTGATGTTGATAGAGGGACGTGAGGAGAGAGTGTGAATACAGTGCTACATTGCTACATAAAGAATACAGTGCTCATTCGATAGAATGAAATCGAGGATTCTCTCTTCTCTAGTTGGAAATGTAACCCAGTGTTGAAGGGATAGGTTCTCGTAAGCTGCTAAAAATTTTTGGGCGCTAGCATAAGAGGCTACACCGGACTTCCAATCAATATCGAGACTAAAATCTCGTAGAATAATTGTGCTATAGGGCACTGTTAGGGCGGAAGTGGTGTAGTGGCAAGTGGCACGCTTACCACGCGAGCGGTCCGGGGATCAAATCCTGGGTCGTGAGTCGCCCGGGCCAACCAAGCCTTCCATCCCTCCGGGGTCGGTTAATTGGTACCAGACTTGTCTGGGAGGATAAAAACACTGACTTGTACATCGGCTGGCCCCCGCAAGTCATTGTATAGGCCACATCGCATTCAAACGCCACTACGAATGTACAAATGGAAGTAGGATTGATCAACGGCAATATGCTTTATCCTTTATCCTTTGCTTTATAGGGCACTGTCGCCGATAGGTTTGACATATAGCAATTAATTGGTCATCTTGATTAGCAGTGGATTGCGGCGATGGTATACAAGGAGCAATCTTTGTTCTTCAGCACAAGGCAGGCAAATATTTCAAGGCACAACACATTAGAATTTCCCTGAACAGGTGGTTGGTTCCTTTTTTTGAATTATTTTTTCATGGTTAGTTCGAGAGAAACTGAGAGATTGCTGGAGAAATTTATTCGTTAAACTAGGAGCATAGCGCTCTAAACATAACGGTACTCTAGCTTGATAGTAGTGCGGTTTACACGGTTGTAGGTTATAACAGGAACAATGTTCGAGGTGGATGTAAGCACTGTGTTGACATCATCCTGAGAACAGAATCTAAAAAAAGCCTGAGTGATGCTATGATTATTTTCACAATTTATTAATTTGTTATAGTTTTGTACCTATAACCAGTTAGGCGTTGGTCTGGATGTGTTTTGATTTCCACACCAGCATAAATGCATCCATCGACGGTTACATTTTTAGGGAGCTTCACAAGTTTTACCTCTACCTTTTGACCGGCTGGTGCCTAAAACAATCTCTAAGGTTACTGCGTATGGCTCATAAATTCACGAACCTTTATCCAATAGTTACATCTCTTGAAACCATCTCGTTCTTCGTTAGCTTTGCGACCGTCAAGTTTGTTTTCAAGAAGCGACCACTCCATCGTCGCCTCGAGTTCCTCACCGCATCCCGGCGGCTAAACTAATGGGGTTAAAAAAATTCGCAAGCTGGAGTCACAAATTGACGGTCACCCTCTCATCGCAGAACTGTCCGCCGTATCCGCTAGGACAAATACACTTGGTGCAATCCCGCGGATGAGCGAATCCACCATTCTGGCACGGTGTGTTCTCGCCTTTGCATAAATCTGAAGCATTACTTTTCATAGGCACTTAGCTAAGCGAACACTACCAAAAAGGAACTCGCCGGTGCAATTATAGTACATGTTCATCATAAGCAGGTCGTAGAACGAAATGGTTTCTGAGCCCATGGTTTCCATGTACATAATATCTTTAGGTACCATAGTGGGCTTTTTGTTGATGCTACCGCTAGAAATGAAAATTTCATATCTTGCAGAGATTTGTATCTCCATACGCGTCCTACCTTGTGGCTCCATAGTGCATCACACTACCGTAGTCATATGTCAAATTATAGTTATAATTGGTCTTTTTCGATTGCCTCATAAACTCAACACGGTGTGTCTCCTGCAATGGTCTACGACAATATCTTGCTTCTAAGCCATTTACAAGTCTTACGTTGATATTCCCTTTGTCAACTGTGATGAATTGGTTACGGTCATGTCTTGAGTGTGTATGCCAGAATCCGAGAGCGTGACCAATTTCGTGAGCAGCGGTACCGACCTGAAGCAGGCCAAAATATGTTCTCAGTGTCAGAACAAAATGCGGAATCTTGGTTTTTCTTCACTGATAAAATTTCTTCGAGATACGAGGCCACTAAGAAATGTTCCTAAAAAATAAACCGTTTCACAGCCTTGGCCAAGTGAAAGGAACTGCAATGGAAAGCCTTCTTGTCTACCAACGCGCGACGAACATCCCTCCTTCATGAACACAAAAATAAGTTGTGCAACTGAAACAGTACCATTAAATGGGATCTTAATAAAAATTTTAATTCCTCAAAACTTTACGAAGTCCTTCTTCATATTCCATCCCTCCTCCTTCCATTTGTTGTTCGTAGTCGAGTATGTTCTCCTCTCCTGAAACTACCACGCAGTACTACTTCTCTGAAACAGTAATCTTTTTCTTTACCGTGCTGTTCATTTTCCTCTCCTCTAGCCGTTCGTTCTCCATCATCTTCTTCCCATCCTCGTTCGGCATAGTCGGATGCCTCATCTAAACAGTAACAACCAGTGCAATATTGCCAGAACATCAAGTTTTTCATAATTGTTGCCTCTATATTCCTGAAAGTCGATGCACGTGTCATCCATCCATAACTGCGCTGCTTTCTTGAAAGCAGACCTGGCCTCACGATCTTAACATAGTAATGAATATCTGTGAAGTTTTGAAAGCATTAGTCGGACGAAGGAAGATGCAATGCACTTAGTTTACATCGAAGTAGTACAGAACTCCGTCTGACCATCTATGACCAGGATAGCTTTTGTCATTATATGCCTTGCCGTCTGGGTCGAATTTGGTCAGATCCGCAACAAGTTGCTCCTGTTGTTCTCTGAATATGGAAGAAAATGTTCAAAAATATACCTGCAAAAATTTTAAAAAATGAACTTTGAAAGAATTATATCTCCTTGGAACAGCGCGTCCGCTACTCCACTTTTTCTGTTGATTTCCTCAATGGAGTCTCCTCTTGGTTGCACTTCATCAACATTTCTTCTTTGTGAAATTCTAAAAAACTCAGCAAGCTTCCATGGGTCACAAAATGTTTTTTTAATATTATTGGCTAACTTCCAATCTTTTTGAAAGCTCTTCTTTCTCATTTTCGCTCAAGGAGAGATTTTTCTCGATAGCTTCCTTTTGTCCGTCCAAAATTCTCTTCAATTCAAGCATGCTCCTTCGTGAAGCCTGTGGGTTTTTGCTGTATCAAAAAGGTAACTTTGAGTAGGTCCCAAAAGACATTCTTTACCTCTTCATTGCGAGCTGCAATCTTTACTAGCTCATCAAGACTTTTTCCTCGATGAGGTCCTTGAAGCGTGCAGCTGCACCTTGCTTCTCGGATTCAACAAATCTGGTGCTCACGCCCGCTGCAGCAAGCAGTGCAAGTACAAGAACACTCATGGTTCGGATAAGAGCTGGAATACGTCAATGAAGAGCTATGCCTGAAGTGAATAGAAAATGTTTCTGTTCCACTCTTGTCGTATTTATATGCTGCTCTATATGCACTTTGACGTTGACATAGCGATGTGTTTGATGTTCAGACATGTACACGAGCGATTTGGATGTATCCATTTCAACTGCAGCTCTCACACTGCACCAGATAGTTTTCGAAAATCACTAAATAATAGAAAGACTTGCAAAATTTGGAGACGCAACAGCATCACTTCGACGAAGGACAGCGGATAAAACCTGAAATGGTCGTCATTGGTGCATTCTGTTTTTCTGTGTTACTCTGGAATGTTGGGTTGTTCGGGAAGTTTCCGCCGTTTTTGGTAACTTTTTCAGAACGTTTCATTTCTTTCTCGATTTTCGAGAAACTGTCTGTCTGTCGAGAAACTGTCTGATACACCATTAGAAAGAGCGTTTTTTGCGGTGCCTAACACTGCTGGTAAATTTTACCCTGAAACACTTGTTCCTCATCTTTTTGAAGTCCTGAATATGACATACACAACGGGCTATTTTGCACGAGTTTCTTGTTTCCAGCAAATTTTGGGGAAAAGTGCGGAAGCAAGTCACATTATCAAGTGAGTATTTGGTCCTGAATCCGCAAGAAATACGCTCTACTGTCGTGGATCAAGGTGTCCTTCCAGCGATGGTGAAAGCTTCGAAGGAGATTGGGGTGACAGTGGGATATCGGAGACTGGCAAAAATTACCTGAGGGTCATGACCAAACTAAGTCTGCATGGAACTGTTTAGCAGGCCGCTTCTAATGAGGCGTCACTGAGATTTGGTTCCAAATATAGAGGTGAGGGTGAAACGTCCAAAGAAGTCGACAAGTGTGTGCCTCCCCTGCTCTTCTTCCCCCATTTGCGCAGCCACATCTCGTACTTCCGGCCGTGCATAAGTTGAACTAGCTGATACAAAATTTGCTGCGAGCACCTTGCACGGTAGACCTCTTGCTTACCAACTTCCGCTTTTCCAGCCATCTAGATTGTTTTTTTTTCAGAGAGATCAAATGTTGAAACCCAACATAGTGATGGAATGACTTTTGCCACGTTTTCGCCTACAGAACTCTAGCAACTTCCACTTCCAAATCTGTCAATTCTCCAATTATAGGCAAATGTATGGGGAATACGACATTTTTATTTCGATCGAAAATGTTCCGTATGAGTTTTTGAATTTTAGGGTCAAAATTGGCGGAAACTTTCCGACAAGGCAATATATTAGACTGGCTGATAAGATGTGTCGTTTCTGTAAATAAATTGTACCATACAAACAACAATAAAGAGCGTCCCTCTTTCCTACATTTTATTCTCTCCGTTTTCTACGCACAGAAGGGATGGATTCATTGAAATAGTGTCTCCGTACGACTCGAAGAAGTTGGGTACGAAAATTTCAG